ATCTATGTACGTACCACTTCTGTTGCCCCTGTAGCAAATGTATCACTTCACAAGTCAAGTAACTGTTTTGTTGCATTAGTAACTTTATGTGTATGTATAATGTATATAGTGTTATAGTGTAAATTATTGTTTTATTTTTATTTCTGGTACTCAGTATTAATTACTGATGTACCCTCAGTACTCCAAACTCCTGCTGCCCTCAATTTAATGTTTTTCTTTTCTTCTCTCTCTATGTTAGTACTGTAAAGTTCTTTAATAATAATAATAATTATTATTATTATACAAATGACAAAATGTCATACATTGAGCTCAAAACAGATAATAATAAATACCGGTATTGTTAACATTAATTGTATGTTAAAGACATGCAGCATAATTATGGTTATGGTTGGTATCTTGTACAGCTACAGTCCAGTATTCTTCTTGTAATGATGAAGAGACACTTGCTGTATTCATAATTGCTGCAGGAGTGGAAGATAAGTTGCTAGCAATTACAAGTTCTGAATCCTTTGCATCTGATACTGCTTGAGTTGGAGTCTCCATTGTACACTATTAGGCTCTAGCAACACTGACTGCAGTTCAACTGATTAAATTCACAGCTAGGCTAGACACTGGAGCTTACTGCACTGCCCACTGCAGTAGTGTTACTAGTGTACAGTGTTTTTATAGCATAAAAATAAACAGGAAATTAAATTCAGTGGGAGTGTCACTAGTTGCATTCCAAACTAAAGTGAAATGTCAACCAAACCAGAGGAGCTGAAAAGAGCCTTTGAGAGAGAACTTAGTGAGTAGGTATTCATAATAATTGTTTATGAGTATTATTAATGATAGATATTAGTGATTTTCAATTGGTATGGGAAAAAGCTGGTGTTCTTTCAGGACGCTGGGACTCTATTGGTATTCTGTTAGGGCTGAGCCCTAATAAGATAGATGAGATTGAAGCAGAGGGCAAGCCGCCAAGAACTTGTCTACGGAAAGTATTTGATTGCTGGTTAAAGAAGGACTATGACTATAAGAGTCATGGTGTCCCTACATTAAGAATGCTGTGTAACTCCATTAAAAGTAATAGTGGAGGAGCTGATCCAGCTCTAGCTGATGAAATAGCAAAAGAATTCAATCTTACTACTAGTAGTCGAGGGGCTACTACATCACCAGTTCATGCTTCATCTTCTAAAGGTAATTATAATACAATAATTAATATCAAATCTTTTTTATTTATTATTTCAGAAGCTACTCCAACTGTTGAGCAACCAGTTCCTACTTCACCTCAATCTGAGTCTACATATGTGAAGAAATTGAATCATTTTGCTGCAACTAATAGCCTAACGCAGTTGATAGAAGATCTACAAGATGATTTCATTCACAATATTTATCTTACAAAAATGGCCTTTCGTTCTATTGATCTCTCAGAAGTTGTTGATCACATCCAGTCATATATTGCTACATTACTTAGCCCACGTTTTCGTAAACATGACACAATTGAATCAATGAGAGATGATTTTGATAAAACAAGAACAATGAATCAACTGTTTAGAATAATGGAGAAATATGTCTCGTGGTTCAATTTTGAACTTGTCGTCAAGTTAGTCAATACTTTCATTACTGATGAGAGAGATTTACAGAGGAAGTGGTCTACATATCGTGAGAAATTAAAAGATTATTTTAAAAATAACAATACTAAAGCAGTTCAAATCGCAGACTCAATTGAGTTTGGTCTTTCTGATGTTCCAGGCACTAAAGTAATGATTGCTAAGGTTGCCAGAGACGACTACACATTAAATGATTTATATTTCTTTCACAAGCTAATCGCTGATGCACTTGAAGTTCCTCAATATAAATTCTACTTTTGTACGATTGAAGATGGCTGCATGGAATTAAAATATTCCATTCCTGATTTTCTTTATTCTGTTTTATTTCCATTAACCAATCAGCAGTGTCATTCATTGGCTGAGATTGGAATCATTAAAACTACTTGTCATAAATATGTACATGAAATGAAGCAGGTATGTTAATAATTATGATTAGTAATTATGTTGTTCTTGTATAATTACAGTTGCCAGAAAATGAATTAAAGAAGCTTCATGATTTTTCTATTGGTAATTATTATTATTATTAACTTTATTTATG